AGTTGGAGTATAGCAGCCGTCGCAGAAAGAAGAACCGGACGTGTGTGTAATTGTGTAATTGGGAGCGTGTGATACAGTGATACATAGCTTCCCTACTGTAAACGTGTAGACTACTGAAGACAGAGTGAGCTGATTTGCGCATAGGGTTATAAATCGTGAAACCCCACAACAGTGTTAACAGATTAATGCGATTAGGGTTATAAAGTGTGAAACCCCGCAACTGTGTGATAAGTAATTGTAGCCGTTACTTGTAGATTGTTGAATAAACCAATTAACCATCTATACGGCGTCTTCAGTAACCAGAAACACGTTACACTGGTGTCAGAAGTGGGCCTAAGCGAACAAAGGGTTTCCTGATACTGTAATTTTTCGGATATCAGAACATTATTCCCAGTGTGTATCTTAGTGTATGGACAAACCTCATGGACAGACCTAATTTGTCATTTGATGTCCCGTACAGTTTGTTTCCTTTACAAGCAACACAAAATTATTTGTACTTGTACACTTCGTGTATATTACTTTTTATTTTATTTTATTTTGTTTTGAAAAAAACAGCTGTATGCAAAAATGGCCTAGGAAATGCCTATCCAATACACTAGAATACCATCATGCCATCTGACAAGCATTCACTAAACTAAGAACTACAGGTCCAGTGGCTCTACAGCATGATGGGGGGAGAGAAAAAAAAAACCCACCACGTGCACACACAAAATACAGCCTTCAATGCTGCTGCACAGATTTACTGGTTGAATAGTCCACATTCTCATGTAAATTCAACAAGATATATACATAATACATATACTGTCACATAATGTTATGTAGCGTGACTATACATGGCTTTTGGGTTAATGATGGATTTATTGGACTCTTTGATACAGTGCATGACTACACTTTACAGTTCACCGTTACACACACACTAGTGTCCACAGTCATTTCTTCACTAGCCGTTGTTTGGCAGCAGCTTCCAACAGTGAACGTTCCCCTTCCTCTAGGTTCCCATACTGTCCCCAGCCTTAACTGTTAGAAGTCAAAGTTAAAGTTATCTTATGACAGGCAGTTTACCACCAATCAGTTCATCTAGGCGACAAGCTGGTCGAGCTTCACGACAAGAGATTTTTTTAAACTGAACCCTTATGGTCATAGTCCTCACACAACATCCTCTCTGGTGAGAAGATATGTTTGTTTCTTATGAACATGCTTGGTCTTTTGTCAAGTGCATGTATCACACACACAGAATGTTATACATACACACACAAGCCCTCTGTCAGTACAGGCTTTGCAAAGCAGATCATGACTCCNCATGTTATTGAAAATTGTTCCTCTTGCACTACATACAAGCCCTCTGTCAGTACAGGCTTTGCAAAGCAGATCATGACTCCCTCAACTACCAAAGCTGACTGCTTATAACATCTTGGCACGGACCGTGTAGAAAACACAGTTCCTCTGTTGCTGTCGAAATTTGCTTGTTTGCAGAGCAGTTACTTAGCCACGGTTGTTGCAGACTGGCTCATTTCGTGGTTGTTACCTAGCAACAGGTCTACATGCCACAATATATATCAAGTTGTTGAATAACGGCTATTTGAAAGGCCAAACCAGACAATGGGATGAAGTGTGGGAACTGAGTACTAAACCGGTGACAGTACGGAGCGAAAACAGATACAACAGGAGACATCAAGGGAAATGGAGATGCCTATACCATACAATGACACATCCTAGGGGAAACAGGAAGATGGTCTCCTGAGTTGTGATGCCATGCAGTCTCTCTCATACATGTATACTGACACTTCGTAGGAATATGTTGTCTCCATCTTTAGGTTTGAAGTGTGCAGGGACAAGAATGGTTCTGTTGGTACATGCACGTTGCAAGGAAGTGGATCGGAGACCAAACCCGAGGTGAGGAAATGGAGCCAAGTTCAGGCCAATGAAAACAGTAGATAGGAAAATGGCCCTAGTAAAGGCTACAATACTGTTTTCTATGTCACAAATGTCTGAGAGAGTAACTCTGTGAGATGACCCTTTCAGGGCCGCAATATGGATATTAACAAAGGAGGGCAAATGGAATATTGCGAAACAGGAAGACATGGCTCTTTTGAGGGCACTATTAACAGACGCTAAAATCAGCCCTCTTGTTTGAGGACTCAGGTACAGGAGTGTCAACTCAGGAGGAAGTCCTTGGAGAGAACCATCTTCTTCCTTTCTTCAGGAAGTGGACTTGTCCTTCCTGCTTTTGGCACACAGTATCTCAAATAATTAAAAAGCAGGTTTTTGTCAGTTACTTCACAACACTGTTAGTATCTAACTATGTAGCATTGAATGAATGATAATTGCAATAGATCTGGAAGGAAGTGGTGATGGCGATAATTGAGGTGCTATCCTGGAATTTGTCTGGATGGATGTACAACAGCCATGAAAAAACTCAATCCAGGATAACTGATGTTCTGGTCTAATCAAGCACTTGCAAAATTTGAATCTAGAGCATTATTGCTCAGCAATTGCAGGTTCCGGTACTTGGCCATTCATGCATACCCTGCTTATAAGTGGCTCCATTACAATAAAAGCTTATAATTCTAGATTCTTCACAATTCACCTCCATGGAAAATTCTACAGCAATATTATTCAAACTGTATACTGTACTCAATACTGCAGACCATCCTCAGGTGCGACATGGAAAGACCTGATTATTCACAAACAGCACAGCATCAATCCTATTAATTCTACTTAGATGCGACGTTTCTATGTCTACCTTCATTTCTGCATCATTTTGTTCATAAACATGAACAATACTGTGAGAGACCTTGAAAGCGATTAGAAGTCCCACCGATCACTTGCAAGTGAAAGAGCGGTAGTCCAGCTGTGGGGTTGCTACCTTTTGAGCCTCTAGACAGGCTTTGTGTCCCAGTATTTGCTCCAGCAGTAATATAACAGTTATCCTGCTGTAACATGGGTACCAGAGCCTCTTCAGTAAAAATAAGGGAAGGTGAGGTCAGTGACTGAGTAAGAGAGGGTACTGCAGATATATTCTACTTCATGGTTTTGATTCGCAGTGAAAACTGTAGTTTGGCAGGTGGACACTGTCACTCAGGAGAAAACATACTGCTGCCATCTTCAGAGTAACTACCCACCACACTGCACACGTAATATCCCAGAAGACCACAATATAACTCTTCACTGCTGCATAAACCTCAAATCTTATTTACAAAAAGGCAAAGTTGTCTATTTTAACTACACACTGCATCATTAAGACATATTGGGGAGTTGAGGTATAGCTGCATGTATAACTAATCTCAGCACTACATGAAGATGAATGGACAGCTTCAGCCCTGACTGCTTTAGCCCACTCTACACTAGTTTGGAGAATGCGTGGGACCCTGAGCCGGAGGCAATAAAAATCTCATGTCCCTGCTGAGAATTGAATCCCAACTCCTCAGGCATCTAACCAATTCCCTAGTAACGATACTGACTGAGCTACCCACATTCCAGAATCTGTAAAATAGCAAGGGCTGGAGGTGGTGACATTTCTATATGCTGGCTCGAGACTGTTGGGAAATGTCATTACCTGACAGGAAACAAAACAAAGACTGTCAGGGGTGAGCAAAGTGATATCACTACTCAAGTAGGGTGCATCAGGTGCACTGCAAGACACAGCACTGCTTACAGGGAACTGGATTATATGTGAGTGATATGAGACAGATTCAGAGAACAGCAGGTGACCAACAGTCCAAAAACATACATATTGCTATAACAGTTTTGAAGCAGCATGCAGCATTCATGCGTGAAGAAACAGTGCATATGGAGAGAAGTTATTTCAGTGCTGGCAGTGATATAAGACAAGAAGATAATAATGCAATGACAAACAGTGGAATAGTACTTGACTAGACGAGGTGACATGTGGCTACTGACGATGAGACATTAACTGTTCCTAAACGTGACACACGTCACAATACTAGAGCTGTGAAAGAAAGCACAAAAACATTTCTAGACTCTTTGTATGGCATATGGCCATCACATAAGATGCTTTTCAGGTTTTTGTAAACAGTTCCAGTAATGTCTTTAAAAATTCTATTTTGGACTTGTCCATCAACCAAGTTTAATAAAATCACAAAAGTTTTGGAAATATTTTTATATCCATTGCTAGGTGAACATAATATGCAAGAAAACCTATGAGGAGGTAAAAACTGAAAGACAAAATCACGGTACAGAGCCCCTTGGTACTCCTATGCTAAGAGTACATTTTCTTTCATTCTTTTTTCATCTCAAGATGGAAATAGAACCAATTTCCATAACAGAGAGGTTTTAATAAACCTCAGATACCAACAAAATCCAAAATAAGAACTCAACAATGTGTCATACCACTGCCAAAAAGCTTTAAACTTAAAATCGCTGAAGTCTATTCCAGTATTTACAGAGGAACAAGGATTTGTTGTGTTGGTACTGACTTACAGAAGAAGGTCACTCCTGTGCAGTCAGTGGCAGAATCCTGAGGAGACCAAGCAGAATGGAGTTTCCAGGCTCACATAACTCCACCCCAATCTCCACAATCGTTTCCTGCAGATCCAACAGGTGATGACTGAAACAGACACAGTATGGAACTCCATGATGAGAAGGCAGCAGGTGCCAGATGGGAAAATCTGAGCCTTCACTGATGACAGAACGTAGCAAACTTGATGGACCTAAGCTATAATGTTTTTCACTAGAACTGGCGACAGAGACATGCACTGGTCACATGCAAGGTAGCTTGGAAGGAAGCTAAGAAAGTGGAGGAAGCGAGCTGCTATTTCAATTCACAGTTATTCAGTGCAGTAAACCCTCACTAGTCCGGTTACAGCTAATCTGAACTGAAACATGAAAATTGATGTTCACAATTGAGTGCATACTTTGAGACACATGGAATTCAGGAAGGCAGATGAGTCACTTGTCTGTGCAGGCAAAACTTGACAGTTTCTTCAAACCTGATTATAATTAAAAACAAGTACAACTTTTGAGTCTTCTATCGATGAACAACTGCATTGCTTTTTATAGTTTTTAAATAAATGCTCTAGAGTGATTTTTTTTTATTTATTTTCATCAACACTATATTATTAAATTTTCCATTTATTTGTTTTCTAATTTTCTTTTTGTCTTCTAAGGCTACCTTTTGCTTCACTAATCCCCACTATTGCTTATTCTGGAAGACCTCCTCCCAGTCAATCCAGATTAGCAAGGGTTTACTGTATTAACAAAAATAACATCTGCAGAAGCATGCATCAGTGGAACTTCACTCTGTCAACTAATTCTAATTCTAATGAACTTGCCACAGACTGCATTATGAACTTCTGTCATTTTGCCTCACCTGAGCTTCCAGCCTGATCCAATAGAGGGAGACAGGCTATCAAACAGGTCACTCTCCACACGATGCTTCAGTTTCTCAATCTGCTTCTGCGTCAGGGGAAACACATGCTTTCTGTCATCATCACTGTTGCCTGCTCCCTGCCCCATTAACAGCCATTTGCTGGAAGTAATTAGCATGTTTGTCACTTTAAACAAGAATACTGCAAGAAGTACACTGCTGACATCTACTAGACTACATGACGTTATATCCTAGACAACCGTAATCTTCAGTCACTGCCGTGGGAACCTCAAATCCAACATAATGCACAGGCTACAGAAAGAATACCAGGATTTCAGGAACCTGTAGCCTGAGAACCAAAAAAGATATGAGGGTGTTCTTTGCAGTATTTTATTTACCAACCGAAGCAGTTTTCTTATACACGAGGAAAAGTTGTTAGATGCAAACCCCTTCACAATGAGTGTCATGTACATCCCACCTGTAGTCCACCTATTGCCAGGCATCCTGTAACATGTCCTTTGTGGGCTGTGCCTAGCTCACAGGTGGTCACTCAGTTTCCCACCATAGAGGTCCAGGTTCAATCCCAGGTAAAGTTATGTGGGATTTGTGGACAAAATGGCACTGGGGACAGGTTTCCTCCAAGTACTTTGGTTTCCCCTGCAAATTCTCATTCTGCCAAATGCTCCATGCTCATCTGTCATCGGGGACTGGTACAATATGCTAATTTATGGCCAACATATGAAGTGGACTCAGTCTCATCCCATCCCACAAAACTAAAATGAAAAATAGTCCTTTGTACCATTTGCAGTTTCTCAGTGATCTGTGCCTAGAATTCACACAGTGTTTCACTCTCTGGCTGTATACCTGGTCTTTCACATAACTTCAAAGATACGAGTCCAAAGGCATAAGATCAGGAGAACAGGGGGCCACAGAATCGGTCCAACTCTTCCTATCAATCACCATTGTTGTTGTTGCTGTTGTTGTTGAGGCATGGAAGAGCACAGTTTTCCAACTTATCTAGGAATGAAATGCTTGTAATGATGTTCTTACTAAAGAAGGCTGGATCAGTGGACTCTTTCATGTTTCATCATGCACAACATGTTCAATTTAGGACTATCCTGTTCATGCACTAAATGTTCCCTGGGAGGCTCACTGCATCACATCACACAGGCTATGACAACTGACATATCCAGGGACACAAAATTTTTTTCTCATTAACTTAAGAAATTATCATGTTCCAAAATGTGTGTGTGCAGGTATGCCGCAAACTGTGATCTAAGCTGTTTATCACCTGCTGAAAGTTTGTGGGTTACCTATAATTTGTGTGGTTTTAGATATAGGCTCTTCTGAAATATTCTGTGGAGTGCTACTTGCAGCATCTGTAACTCTGCACTTGCTCATGAAACAGCTTCTTTGAATTCCTTATGAAAGCCTGCCTAACATGATCCGCATCTTCATCATATCTGCTAGGCTGCCCAGGAGAATGTCTATTTTACACAGTGTCACTCTCTCAAAATTGCTTGTACCATCTGCTAATGCTCTTGTCATCTGATGGTCTCACACTATTACTCATGTCTACATTCATGCTGGATTTGAATAACAGATTCAAATTTTACCTACCACAACACTGCCTGTGCTTTGATATACAGCAGATATTGTATCGATTGCGAGGAACACATAATCAAAGCTGTTGTCCATTGACTACAGCCGGGAAGCAGGTGCAACTTGTGTCAGAGTTTACAATTACACTGCAAGTGCCAAAACTGTCATATCCATTTCTATGCCCGATTTCCTTGCATTCTCTCTTGTAGTCCCTGTATGATTATAGTTAGTTAGTTAGTTATTTAGCGAGGGTGGGTTTCCCCATGCACCGCGACCAGTTTGATCTATTGTGCTTCCCTCTATGATATTCTACCAGTCTCTTTACCCTACCGATAAATGGTGCGTACCATCAGTCCCGCCGAGCAAGCGAGTTTGGCCACTTGCTTAGCGGTGTCTATAATGCTTCCCCCATCTATCAGAGGCCTTAGAGGCTATTGTTGGGCGGGAAACGTCCTGGAATTTGGCTCAGTGATTCCCTTTGGGGATATGAGGTTCTTTTACGTGCCGTAAAGTTACGACACAGGACATACAGCTTAATGTCCCTACCAGAGAACTTATTCCCTGAATTTTTCCGCCCTTAAAAATTCGACGACCTCCGCTGGGTATTTGAACCCGCGTACCACGAGTCATGAGGTGGGAACGTTACCTCTAGACTATGGAGGCCGCCTGTATGATTATAAATTGTTCATCACAAAAGACACAGAAGAATTACATGAGATTTGGGCTTCCGCTGGCTGTGGCCATGAAGATTACTGTCTTCAAGAATGTGATACCGTGTAGTCTGTAGAGCTTTACCAATGTTTTGAATGAACCTGCTCCATCTTCAAGGTACATGAAGGGAGCAGGCAATATTTCACCATACTACATAATGTGACATCCCAGAACGCATTAATCATGGTTTTCGCATATAGACAGTTTGGTTCATGACTGCACAAACCGCATGGAAAATTCTGTTCAACTTTTCAGCATTTACTGTTAAGCTTGTCTGTGGTAGAGTAGTTGGTTGAGGCACTATGTTACAAGCTGAAAGATAGCAGGTTTGATCCCCAATGAGGTCACTGGATTTTTCATTTGACCTAATCCTTCCAGCCGCACCATTGTCCTGGAGTTGACTAAGCCTGTAACACAAGCGAGTAACAAGAATCGTCCTGGGGGTAAAGGGTGGCTGGTTGGCAGGTGTGTAAGGCTGCAAACCTCACTGCCATCTGTGAGCCCAATGTCCACAGAATGTAGCAGCCTCAACATCTCACAAATCTACAGGTCTCCATGGCCAGTTACAGGGATAGCTTCTTACCTTTACCTCAGTCAAAACCCATGTCAGGACTAAAAATACAGCCTGTAGTTTATACAGTAGATCATACTGAGATCTATGAATTTTTTCAGTTGCATGAATACGGAGGGGTGCAGATATCATTGAGATCTACAGCTCCTGTCCCAAACTTGCATTTCTGCATTCTGAATATGTAACAAAATGAGTAGAAACATTTCTCACTCCTTGTAGTGAGACTGGCTTCATATAATGACCTGTTACAGGGATACCTGTTTTTTTTTAGTAGAGCCTAGTAGAAATGTACAAAAAGTTCCCAAAGGAAGACCTATGACTTATGGGAGGATACTACAATATGTCTTAAAGAAACAGATTACTTTTGTTATTTATTTTACAACACGGTTGGTAAGTAGACCAATGACTCCCAAACTGTGCTCTGGCGGAATCCTAGCAATGCATGAGGTACACTGAAATGTTCTTCTATTGAAATGAAATAATGGCTGTCTCTTCTGAACTTCAGAGAAAATGATAACGTTAATGGACAGAATGTTCTTAAATTTACATATTGTGACATGTTGCGCAATGGAGGACAACCCCTCCCTACCCAGCAGTAACATGGCGGATGAGTCAGCACTCCATCCCCCCCCCCAAAGCAATCTCTTATAGAAATTTTATTTTTTATTTCTCTCTCTGTTAAGTGTCATCCAGTAATGACTGCTTTCTGTTGTTGTCATCATTGTCATCATCATAATTTGCTGAGTTGCACAAATCCACGACATGACAGGACACATTTGCTGCTATTGATACTCTTCCTAGTTCGAATGAAGCCATAAAGGACACATTTCTTGATATATTTCACAGAGAACAATATAATGGCTAGGTGTGCCATGAACTGAAAAAGTTTGGGAACCCCTGACCTGGACTATACACTGCTGAATGGTAAACTGGGAAGACTGTGGAAGGAAGCAGTCAAGGTTAGCGTCCCATCCAAGTTCCGAACCAACTACCTCCCAAATATGAAAACAGAGCATTATCACTACATTCAGCAATAAAAAAGGTGTGATTGTGAAAAATGGATTGAGATGGCCCAGCCAAACAGCCAGCTACTGCTGACATATCATGGCACATGGATGTTGGGGCAGCATGCCCACTGACAGGAGCCTACAAACTGTACCTGCAGGATCCTTTGCTGTCCTCTGTCACCAGCAGAACATTCAGGTTAGGGTTGCCTTTGCTGGGTGCTTTTGTTGCAACTGAAACTAGAATCTGTCCATCAGCACTGAAGCTGCAAATCAGGATCCTAAAAAGACAAAATATGACTGCATTATAATTCTCTGACGTTTCTGGTTCAGTAACTAAACTAAACTGTCCAGCTCCATGGAGCTGAATCCTTCTTCAGAAACCTCCAGTTTTCCTGCCACTCAAGAAATTTGCAGCACATTATGGAATATGAAGTTTCATTACGATTTATAAAGAGCCCACCACTCTCTAAGCCTGAGCTACAATAATCTAGTCCACAACCCCATCCAATCTGTCAGATCCTTTTTAATATTATCCTCTCATCTCTGTCCATATCTTCCTAGCGGTCTTTCTTTAGATTTTTCCAACAAAACTCTGTATGCGCTGCTCCCCCATGTATGCTTCCTGACCTGCCCATCTCATCCTCCATGGAATACCAGTTATGAAGTTCCTCATTATGCAAATTTCTCGAGCCCATTATTTCATCTCTCTTCGGTCTAAATATTCCCTTTCACACTGTGTTGTCAAACACCCTATGTCTATCTTTTTCCAAAGTCTGTGTAAAATTTTATAAGAGACTGGGTTTTCATGGTGAAGACTTGTTCACCCCACCTTGAAGCTGGAGGAACACCCCTTGTCAGCTGTCCACAACATCACTGCAGCTGCCCTCCACATCTAGAGGCCATGTCCTCCATCTGTAGCCTGATAAAGTACCATTAAATGGTGAGAAGGGACCCTCTGTTCATATAAATAACATTTAGAGATTCAGTTCCCACCTCACAGAAAACACCCTTCATCTTCATTACAAAGTTCAATCAGCTAATGTTATACAGGAAGATAATGGGCTACATGTACAGTTTTTAATGTTAAAGCAAGCAGTGTATATAGTATCCACCGTGCTTTGGAGGGCTAATAAGAAGCAAGAGATGTTAGTTGTCCTTGGCACAAACAGAATTATTGTGGATCTAAAAAATTCCAAAATGGAGACACAGGGAAGAAAATTCTTCACTTCATTTCAACATATCAGGAATGGTAAAAACAGGTGCTGAAGTCAGGTCATGCTCATATAAGATGGCATGAGATGATGATACTGGCTATCATTTTTTTGTTATTGCTAGTGGGGTGCGACTAAGTCCCTTGTACTGCAGCCACTTCTGGCCTATTGTACCAGCCCCAGATGATAGGTGAGGGTGATTGTGGAGCAATTGGTGGAATGAAGATTGGCAGGGGAAATCGAAGTACTCAGAGAAAACCTGCCCCAGCGCCACTTTGTCCACCACAAATCTCACTTGACCAGACCTGGGATCGAACCCGGGCCAACACAATGCGAAGCCAGCGACTAACCGCTTGAGCTATACTGGCTATCATACTCTATTTCCCAGCTATACATGTACAACAGCAGTTTCATAATACAGTGAAGCAATGCATCTACACATATCTCTAGTCTACAGCATGCAATAATAAGAAATTCTGTAGCATATGACATGACAATTTTTTTTTTCTATCAACTGATTTCACACTCAAGAATTTGGGAACTGTTTTCTGATGATCTGATAATCTCACTCTGTCAGTTGTGGCAGGAGGAAAAGGCAAACAGTGCAAAGAAGTGCTTTCTCAGTCAATTGATGACACTTTCAGCATCAAAACTATAGTGTCAAATTGTCGGATGACTGAAGTATTGGAAAGGATTCGGAAGGAAGTGATTGTGGACTACATGGGGTTCTGACATGGCATTTGCCTGGAGGGAGCTTGGAAATACATGAAAAACCTGTCAGGATAGCTATTATCTCAGTTGAGATTCAAACCAAGCACCTCTTGAACACAAGTCTAGAGTTTTACCTCCAGACCAACCTGCTGGGTTAAATTAAATTAAGATAAATAAGTCTTTCTCTTAGAATCAATTCTTGGTTTGCGTTCATTCGCATGTTTATGAGAAACAGTAAAACATGAAGAACTGGAACTTGTGGGCCCAACAAACGCAAGCGCCACAGCAAGGCAGCATGAAATACTGATCCACTTTTTCTGGTTACCAGATTTTCAAAATATATTCAACCTCTCGCATATAAGCTACACAATACACATAGCATATTTTAAGTAAAATATTAAACCCTTTATTTGATGGAAAAGAGAATTTTTTTTTCTGTTTTCCTTCAGTTCCATGTAGTTCATTGATGCACTATGCTACAAACTGGAAGGTGGTGGGTTCAACTCCTGATGAGGTCACTGAATTTTTCTATTGTCCTAATTCTTCCAGCCACACTATGGCCCTAGGGCTGACTCAGCCTCTATCAGATATGAGTACCAAGAATCCACCGGGAGAGGGTGGCGGGCACATAAGGCTCACAAACCTCACTGCCATCTGTGAGCTGACTGTCTGGAAAATGTGGGAGTCTCGACGTCTCACAACCCTATGGGCCTCCATGGCATGTTACAGGGATACCTTTACTTCTTTTTTAATCCATCACTTTCAAAGGTCTTTCAGTGCACCATTAGCCAGAACAGAGAATATAGCATTCCTCATGAGGTGCAAGACACACTAAATGTGTACTAGTATAACCGTCACCTCTGAGACTTGTTCCCACTGCATGACCGACTGATCTGCAAGCAGCCACCCCCAGTGAACGCATCCAAGGAGCAGTGCTGGATGCAGCCTGTTGTGATGAGCTGCAATACGTCTTCCTTCACACTGTTCGTGCTGCCCTCCTCCTTTCTTGCTTTCAATATGGGCTCAACAAATTTGTCCTCCAGGCAAGAAGGAACACTCGGCTGATACTGTTGTTTGCTCAAGTTGTACCACGGTGCATCTGACACCACCTGAACAAAAACCGACACGTGGCAAATTTAACTAACTCCATGCATCTGAGTGATTTCTGGAAAACCAACAGTTGCTCAACTATTTTATGGAACTTCCATTACTGTGTTCACAAGAGCCTGCCACTGGACCCTACACTGAACCAGAAGAATCCAGTTCACACCCATCTCTGCCCTATTTTTCTCATGTCAATTTTAATATTATCTACCTGTATATTCCTAGGTCTTCTGGATGTTCACTCTTCATCAGATTTTCATTCTCTCTTGTGCAAGCCCTGCCTATCTCATCCTTCTTAATTACAAGATAACTTTAAAATACTGCGGATCCTTAATTTAGAGCACCTCGTTATACCATAAATCTGGACATACCTCAGCAGTGATCATGTGCCCCAGTATGATTATGTATGTTTTCCTCTCCCCCCCCGGCACTACAGCCTCGGTGGGCTTAGGCCTACCTCCATGAACTTCTCCGTTCACTTCGGTTTTTCTAGATCTTACACATTCGGTAGGACTCCTTGGGCAGGTGATCAGCTCATTGCAAGGCCTCTACCTGTACACAAACAGAAGAACACACACACAAACTAAACACCCATGCCCTGAGTTGGATTCGAACCCACGATCCCGATTTCCAAGCAAGCGAAGACAGTACATGCCTTAGACCGCTCGGCTACCGTGACCGGCTATGTATGCTTTACACTGTACAAATTTCTAAAAAATATTTGACTAATTATAAGAATGTATCACTTTCCTAAGCAGCATTCACTGGCCAGTCTTTGTAGTGGAGAGGCGGTGTGCTTTCTGTGAAGCAGGAGCTGAGCTATTAAATATTACATACATGACCTTCGGGGTCAGAAAGGTTAATTTCTCACCAATAGACTTTATTTACAAATTAACAGAATAAGAGCATATGGGGATATACTGATATCAAAATTATCTCACTGACGTTGCAGTATATCAAAGCAGCAGTTCTGATTATGAATGGATGTATCAAACAGGCTGGTATATACACAACGCTCAAAACTTGTAGTCAAGAGATGCCCACTTTGGTACCCTCACTGTGGTGCTATATGGTTCTTCCCAGCCCCTCCAGGTAAATGCTGGATTGGTACATCAATTAGACCATAACCACTTCCACACTCTTTCCAATTAATCATTCATCAGTCATCCTATGATCTGATGCGATACAGTCCATAATGAAAACATTTTTCAAATATGCAAAGAAAAAGGAAGACAAGATGCTACCAACCTGTCCATTGTGGTAAAGCTTCTCCCCATAACCCTGGCAGAACGTGGTGCTAAATGGGAGCTGTGTGGGTCCATGTACGTACAGGTAGGGCCACAGTTTCTGCCAGAAAGCATACTCAAGGTGCACAAAATGTGGGCTACCAAGATATTCATGCACCCAGCTTGGAGCGAAGAGAGCCACGGAGAGGCTGTACTTGCGTGCCAATTCAACAGCCTACAACATCACATTTACAGCTTAGATTATGGTCTTTTGTGATGTGATGCTTTGCAATCTGGTAAACAGGTACTGGCATTCTGGAGGTACATGTTGCTTCCACCTTCTTCTACCCTGAAGAAGGAAGCAGCAGGTTCTTCTGGAATGTTGGTACCGCTCTACCATACTACATAGTATCACATCTCCATAACCGTGTAATCTTCAATCTTATGTTCCCAATCTTTTCAGTCTGTTACATTTACAAGAGGTTCAGTGAGACATTAGAAAACTGAGATTAATGGCCATGGGAAACCACTGTGCTGACCACGCGACACTCTATATCCTCAAAAGTTGGCACTAACTTGGCCGACAAGCGGCAGTCACTCGGTATAGTTCGCTTGCGGACTACTGGCCATGGAGTTCTTTTTTGGGGTGAGAAATTAACTATGGCCTTGAGATGTGCAGTAGCTTTGCTGCTAGAACGGGGGGGGCAAGCAGAGCTCAGTGTCTCAATGCCGTGGCTGAGTTAACGCTGTGTGTTGAGTTCAATTTCAATAACATTGGTCCATTTATAATTAAGCCTGTTACTTTCATGTATCTCAGAGCTCATGTCCTACCAAAAATATTGTAGGGGTGTCTACAAAAATTAAGGAGACAGATCTGTATGCTGAGATGTGAATACAATAGTGATGGGTGACAGGAAGACTCATGATTCCATTTTACAGCACTCTCAGTACCTAGAGAATTTAGCACTGACTGGAAGAGTGATTTATAAATGACAAACTCGAAAGGATCTGGAAAGAAGCAGTTGTGACCTAATCAAGGCACAACCCTGAAATTTGTTTGGAGGGACTGAAGGAAACCAAGAAAAACCTCCGTCAGGACAGCCAGTGTCTTGGCCAAGATCCGAACAAACCACCTCTGAAATAAACATCTCAATAACAATATGAGTACAAAAAAATATCTATTCTCATGAGACACAGCAAGGAAAGAGAGGGGCCAGAATAGCTCAGGCAGTATACTAACTGTCCAAAGGTGGAAAGACCCAAGAATTGAGGTTCAATTCCCATAGGAAGCAAAAGGCTTTCCTCTTCTTCACGCATTCACACCGGGTCTGGTGCCCAGCCTCCTATCAAAATGAGTAGTGAGGATTCCTTTCCTGGAGGTAAAGCAGCCAGGGTGTGAAACTGACCACCCACTTCCTCCTAGTGCCATGGTTAAGGATATGTGGAACTATATCTTCACTCCCACACACACCTTGCTTTTACCTTTACCAAAAAGAGTAGGTATTCATCAGTTTTAACAAGTATATAAAACTGTTTTAGTCAAGAAATTGTGCAAATGCAGATGAAGTCAGAAATGTCACATAAGAACTGTACTGATCATGTCTCGCTTCTTTCTCATAATCATTTATGTGTACCAAATTTGGTGATGAGCTACCGTGTATTAACTTGAACAGCAAACTTCACCTGGCACGAGTTGAAGCCTCCACCCCCATAACAGTTGCGTCCAAACACATCAACACCCACATATACATCCAGATGACGGCTTCCAGCATTCTCTGCAGAGGTCTTCAGGTTCTCTTCCTTCCACGTATAGTTCAAGAAGATACCATCGCAGTTATCGAAGAAAGTTCTACAAACATTAAACGGCCAATCAGCTGTGCCAGCTGCCTTACTCTAGACTTCTGATAACTATGTTATGTTTGAAGTGCCTACAATGCTGGGAAATTGTCGTGGAATTTTTAAGGGCGGAAAAATTCAGGGAACAAGTCCTCCAGGAGGGACTTTAAGCCATGGGTCCCGTGTCGTAGATTTACGGCACGTAAGAGATCCTCATGTCTCTAGGAGACTTCTGAGCAAAATTAGGAAAAGTTTCCTGCCAAAGTAGTTTCCAATGCCTCCGGTAGATGGGGAAGTATCAGGTACCACTGCCAGAAGAGGGCTGACCTCGCTGGCAGAATGGGGCTGATAGCGAGCACCAGTATTGGAAGGGTATGGCAACAGTAAAAATTAAGGGGGATGCACAATGGACCAATAACTGGTCTAAGTGCATGGGGAAACCCACCCCCTCTAATAATGAATGAATGCTGCGAAATTTACCTATTGAGGCTGTTGAGCTCATCCTGCCATTTGAGCTCCCCTTTTTCAGTCACGCTGTCATACCAGATCACTTCTGCATGTGGTATCTTATCATGTAGTTTGTGATGAATCAGTTGAACAAACCATTCCAATCTGGAAACATGTTCTGGTGGAATAGTGTTTTCCACATTCAACAAGTAACCATCAAAACCAAAATGACAACATACGGCAACCAAGTTGTCTACAAAGTCTTCAACAGCTCCATCACTTTTCAGTATCTCGTCCCAAACTTTTTTCCCATCATCCCATTCTGTTATCAGAGTTCCTGAAACAGTCAGTGTTCAACTATTTACAGCCCTGCTGTTGCTATACACAAGACTGCTTCAAAATAACTGAAAGGCCATCAAATGGAGTCACTATTCTTACGGAGGCATTCACGGTTTTCCTCAGGCCTTCCAAGTACATGCTGGAATAGTACCTCAATCAGCTCATAACACCTTCCTTTCAAATTCAATTCATCTGTCATTTTACCATTCAAAGCTACATAGTCAAAGATACTGACAGGGCCATTAAATGAACCTCCACCCCCCTCCCCAAACATGTATACACACACAGAAAACATCTCAGCATTCTGCCCACACAGTGGATCGATACATTTCATACAACTCTCACAATTAACAGTGATTATTTCTCTAAACTTTAACCAGATGAAGAGGACTGTCTTCTGGGATATAAAGCCACATAATCTGTTAAAAGGCAAACAATGTTTCGGAGGAACATATAGCCTCCATTTTCAGGGTCGAAGAATACGCTGAGCAAGAAACCACCATGAAAACAGGTAGCAATCCGAGTGCTCTCAGCTTAGTCTTTAACCCTGAAGCTGAAGGTGATAATTTCCTCTGAAACATTTGTTGACTTTCAATGGACTACATGGCATTATATTCCAGAAGATAATGTGCTTCATAACTATACCCTCGGATCCTACACACTTATCCAGCTGGCTTTGTATTGGAGATGGAACTTATTTACTTAGTGGGGGGGCACATGGTAGTGTAGTTGGTTGAGGCACTGTGCTACAAGCTGGAAGATAGCAGGTTCAATTCCCATTGAGGTCACCGGATTTTTCAATTGACCTAATCCTTACAGCTGCACTATGACCTAACTCAGCCTCTAACACAAATGAACACCATGAATCTTCCTGGGGTGCAACAGGTGTCTGGTGCATAAGGCTGACAACCTCACCACCATCTGTGAGCTGACTGTCTAGAAAATGTGGAAGCCTTGACATTTACGTTTTTTGCCGGAAGATGATTCCTAGAAGAACTGTGGCATAGAGATAACATGACAAAATGAAAACAGAATTGCAGAGATAATACAGAAATGAAATCCTGGACTTCCTTTCATGTAGAATTAAGATCTGATGACGGCATTCATGACATGCTGGAACATCTAATATATTAGAAGCTGTTTGAAAGAAACAAACACAAAGAACCTCTCGTACATTTTATGTACTTGTGGTTTATTTAGTGGTGTTATCAGTACGTCAGACTACATGCTTCAAATGGTTGGTTGATTAACGACTAATTAATTGGAGAGGATATAGAGAAAGTGGTTATGGTCTAATTTGAAGGATAATCAAACATCTGCAAGGGCTGAAGAAAACCAAGGAACATCCCAGACAGGATAGTGAGCATAATGGCTGAGTTTTGAACCAAAAGTTCCGAAACATTAAAACTTGAGCCCGATTCATCAGTAGCATCTTGTAGAATCTGTGAGTAGATGTAAATATTCAGAATTACTGGGTTTTTGGACCTAGTAATTCTGAGTATTATACACCACTGTCAGAACCCTTTAGAATCTAGATGTAAATATGTTTGATACATAAGAAGGTGAGTATTTCTGTATCTGTTGATAACTGCTGTCTGTCTAAATCATCTATGAATGTACATAATACCCTGGGTAAGTAACCATACAGCACAAATACTTCGTGTTCAATGAGATATCCAGAATGGTGATTCTGGTTTTCATCACACTGAAAACAGAATCTAGTAACTTCCTAATGATGAAATAATGCTCTACATCACTATCTGAAGATGATGCACCCTCAAAGATATTTTAATTGTGGTATACGAATTGTATTTTATGATTTTAAGCCACAAATCTTGCCACCCATTTCCAGAATTAATTAAAGGATTGTCTACTGAGAGAGAAATTAAACGAAATTATCATATTTCTCAGACCTAGTGACAAATAAAGGGAACACATACCTAGAACTTTGGTGCCATGCAAGTGTGCAGAGTTGACCCATACTGGTGGAGGAATAGTAACCAGCTGATGGCTGAAGTATATAAACGTGTCAATGCCAGCCCAATGGAAAAAGCGATACTCTTCATGTTTCGGGCTTCCATTCACAAACCTGACAACAAAACCAATAATAACTAAAGGATCAGGGGGCGAGGAAAACTCAGTCCACATACCAACTGGGCTGCAAGCTGGACAACCATGGAATTATGTTTGTTTCCCAGGAGATATAAGATTTTTCTCTTCTCTATAGTATCCAGATTGGCTCTGCAGCCCATCCGGCCTCTGGCCTAACATATACTTGGTGCTCCTTACTTGGGAACAATGTGTGAAGCCAACCATTCTCCTCCATATAGAGCTGAGGTTAAGAATGGTACAGCTATACCTCCATTCCCCCATACATCTTTATGGAGTGGTGTTTCACTTATTAAGCTCAACAATAAATTTACCTTACCTTTACTTTTACCATTAAGGGAGGAACATAGACTGAGGGTGTTTGAGAACAGGGTGTTGAGGAGAATATTTGGACCAAAGAGAGATGAAGTCACAGGAGGTCAGAGAAAACTGCATAATGAAGAGCTTCATAACTTGTACTCTTCTCCAAGTATAATTAGAATGATCAAGTCAAGGAGGATGAGGTGGGCAGGTCATGTAGCACGAATGGGGGCGACTAGAAATGCGTATAGGATATTGATGGGAAAGCCAGAAGGAAAGAGACCACAGGGAAGACCAAGGCGTAGGTGGGTGGACAATATTAGAATGGATCTTAGAGAGATAGGATGGGATGGTATGGATTGGATAGATCTGGCTCAGGATAGGGACCAGTGGAGGGCTCTTGTGAACATGGTGAACCTTTGGGTTCCATAAAATGCTGGGAAATTCTTGAGTAGCTGCAGAATTGGTGGCTCATCAAGAAGGGCTCAGCTACATGAGTAAGTAAGTGAGTAAGTTTACTTTTACCTGACTGTTATAGGGCATGACACCATGTAGTCTGGTAGGTATTTACCAGCATATCAGAGGAATACGCTCCCTTCTTCTGCAGGGTGAAGATGGAGAATTATCTATCAGACTACACGGTGTCACACCCTAGAAGAAAGTAATCTTCATTGTCATTGTTGTGAGGGCCCCAAACCTCAGAATATTTACCTATTTACAGTACACTGTGTAAGCTTTCCATGACCAATCAGGAGATGAGAGCAGATAACTAGATGTGTTCACAAAATGTGTACAAGATTAAGTTGTGTTTATCTTAACCAGTCATAATCGATTGGTTGACTTAAGGCTAGGATAGTCACCTCTACCAGCAAGCTGTTGGTACTTCATTAAACAGGTGGCCATGCCATAGCTTAGGAAGTTAGTTGCCAGCATCCCACTGGGGCAGCCAAGATTTGATCCCTGGGCAGGTGATGTGCAATTCATGGTGGACAAAATGGAACCAGGACAGGTTTTCTCTGAGTACTTTGGTTTCCCCCACTCAATTCTCATTCCATCGACTGCTCCACATTCATTAATCATGCTACTGCCTGCTGCTGCACAGTCTTGATACTAACAGCATTATTACATAACCAGCTAAATAGCTAGTAATCAGTTCATTTCTGACGTGCTGATGGCAAACCTTTGTATGCCACCAATATTGGACTGAGCCCCCTCCCACTATGCTCATGAGTGTGACGGGATGGTGCACTACTGTTTTTTAATGGTTCTGTGGGAACTGCCCACATTCAAGCAAGTGTGACAACGCAAGCGTCATTGCTTAGCAACAACGAGTAAACAACGGTTGCTAGGCAAAAGCGAATAAACAGCGGTTGCTAGGGAACTTGTAAACACGGTAACCGGCAACAACAGTACCTATTACGTAATAGGTACTGTTGTTGCCGGTTACCGTGTTTACAAGTTCCCTAGCAACCGCTGTTTATTCGCTTTTGCCTAGCAACCGTTGTTTACTCGTTGTTGCTAAGCAATGACGCTTGCGTTGTCACACTTGCTTGAATGTGGGCAGTTCCCACAGTTCCTTCACAGTGCTGCCACTTGCTAGATGACATAGCATTGAATGGCAGGATGATTGACACATGAACAGAAAAGGATTTCAAAGGAAGTGGCTGTAGCCTAACTGAGGCAATGTCCCAACATTTACTGGAGGGACTGGGGAAAGCCACATGAGAACTCAGTCATGACAGCTGGTGTCCCTGCCTAGACTCGACCCAAACATCTGACAAATACATGTCCTGAATATTTTGCTAGACTAACCAGTTCAGTTGGCTGACAGCTAAATGGTAACTTTGTGTTACAAGAATTCTGAGTTAGGTTAGATTCTTTGGTTACCTGTAAGTGTATTTGTTCAGTATTCTGTATGATTATTATGGCTCTCATTTGTGCTACGTTCCATTACGTCCTTGGCTTACCTATATTTCTGCTCATGTTCAGTTAATATTTACTTTCTCCGACTGCTTATCTGTTCTGCCATTGTAACTTACTGTTAAAATTACTTGGGTGAAGTGGCTGACCACTACTTCTGGTTACCATAATTTTGGGTCATTCTGATTGGTTTACTCGGTCATAATGGTCATAATTCCTACTCTTAAGCTGTTTATCCAATAATATTATACATGAATCACAAGAATCCTTACCTGTCTTCCCTATAACCTCCTCTGAGATCGTGACAAAACAAAGTTTTTGGCACGTCCTTCCTTTCTCTCCGCTGTTTGAGCAAATCTGGATGAGCACGGCGGCATTGTAAGTCCTGACCAGAATAACAAGACGACGAAGTATTTGACAATGCAAGAATACGGTCGTGCCATGGTGGACGAAAGCACTTCAACTTCTGCACGTCAACATAAGACAGTATCGGTGTACAAACATTTTTATCATCACTCCATTGGAATCTGTTTTCTACGAGACTCGTTTCTTCGCCGTCGCACATTTCTGTACAATTATCCTGCACAAACAATGAAATCACGTGTTTTACAACCACAATTCAATCAGCACTTGCTCCGCCATATTTCTACGCTCAGTTTCCTTCATTTGTTTCATTAAAGAGACAAGGTTAGGTTACAAGAGACTTTCCCGGATTTTCAAACCAGAAAAGGTCCAACAGAAACGTCGGTTGGCTTCGTTATATATAACCCAGCAGCCGTGTGGCGCTTATTCGTGTAGTTTTCTATATGCGTTAATTAATTTAATGATATTCTTCTGTTGCTCCCACTTGGAGCATAGGGCATCCGTGAAACGCTTTGTTTCACTTAAGTTTCGTAATTGAAGACAATCGGTAGGACCCCTTGGATGGAACATTAGCCCGTCCCAAGGTCGCTAGCCAACTCAAACACAGAATAAACACAGACATCCATGCCTTGAATGGGATTTGAACCCACGACACCAGTGTTTGAGTGGGCGAAGACAGTTCATGCCTTAGACTGAGCAGCTACTGTATTCGGCAATTCAATGATAAACCTGTACAATTGTCTGATTCCTACTAATACACAAACTGGGACTAAGTAACAGTCCAACTTGTGAGAGGGGTCAAGAAGAAAATGAAACAGCCACACATATCCTGTGCGAATGTGAGGCCTTAGCTTATTTAAGATTACGTCACTTGGGTCAATATTTTATGGAACCAAGTGAGTATTTCGACGCCCCCACATACGAAATCCTGCACTTCGTTCGAAGCGCAGGATTGCTGAGGGAATAATTAAAAGGGGAAGCACAGTAATCATTGTGGTCACGGTGCAAGGGCCAAGAGGGCCCACCCCTTGTACATTCATTCAACTTATACACACTCAGTCATCTTTAAAATAACTGTAGATGCAACACTGGCAATCCTGACTTTCATACAGCAGGCCACATCTGGCCCATGTAGATTTTTGTGTGACCTCTCTTAATGTCACATTTCTTTTTAGTCAAAGCTTGCCTGAAAAATTGAAAACTCCCCTGTGATCACACTAAATGTTTTTTAGAGGCAAACTCTTTTGAAATTACATGTAACACCATTGCTTGTTCTGACAGATTTTTATAAAACCTGCCATAAAGGTCATGCTATTTGTACATTCTTGCTACATCAATAACATCATCACGATGGCTCCACAAAATATTTGGGTGGAAACTACATTCAATCTGCTTAGAGTGGAGGATTTTATATATGCAATAGAAGAACAATATGAAAGTAGAGCTTACATATATAGGGTATGAGGGTATGGACTGGATTCATGTGGGGTACCACATGGTCCAGTGGTGAGCTTTTGAACGTGGCAATGAAGCTTCAGGGTTCCAAAAAAGAAGGAAAGGAGTCATGTAACAGTTAGTGATCAACATTTGTCATGTACCCCAGTTATCTATCTTGTACTCCCTGACATAATCAATATGAAGTGGACGTGCAGACTATGGAGCTCTTTATATCCTAATTGTATCCATTGGGGGCACGTGGTAGTGTAGTTGGTTGAGGCATTATGCTACAAGCCGGAAGGTCACGGGATCAAATCCCTATGAGGTGAATTTTTTCAATTTACCTAATCCTTCCAGCCGCACTATGGCCCTGGGGTTGACTCAGCCTCTTACAGAAATGAGTACCTGGAATATTCCTGGGGGTAAAGGGTGGCTGGCATGTAAGGCTGAGAACCTTACCGCGATCTCTGAGCTGACTGTCTAGAGAAAATGTGGGAGCCTCAACATCTCAACCCTATAGGCCTCCATGGCCTGTTAAAGGGATACTTTTACTCAACTGTCTCCATTTTCATCACATGTTCATATATTTCCCCATCTTGTTTAATCCTTTGCACACAACAAGTCAATTAGATTAATTATGAGTATTTATTTTTATTTTAAAATTGTCACAGTTGAAGAAATCAGCCAATTGTTAATCGCCTAGTACAGCATGTTTGTCAGTAGATAGCAACAGGTGTGACATGCCACTGTTAAAAGGAAAGAACAGTCTGTCCATTGATCTAAACCTGTGGTTATTTGAAAGTTATTTCAGGAAGAACTGTGTAGTTGTCTAACAAACTACTTTTATCTCCTAGGCAGCCTTTGTGTTTCTACCAGGTAGTTCTAAGGTGGGGCTTGGCAGTCAAAGGATTAAAAGTATTTTACAGTAAACCCTCACTAGTCAGGATTGATGGGGCAGAGTTCATCTGGACTAGGCAATAATCTGGATTAATGAAGAAAAAGTTTCCCTACAGAACAAAAATGAATGGAAAATTGAATGATATAAGTAGTGTTGATAAAAATAAATAAAAAATCACTCTAGAGCCTTTATTTAAAAACTATACAAAACAATATATTTATTCATTGATAGAAGACTCAGAATTGTACTTGTTTTTGAACGTAATACTGCAGGTTTGAAGAAACTGTAAACTATTGTCTGAACAGACAAGTGACTCATCTGCTGTCCTAAATGCCATGTGTCTTTTAAAGTACATACTCAACTGTGAACACATTTTTTTTAATTTTTCATATTTTGATCTGGATTACCTATAACTGGATTAGTGCAGTTTTACTGTAATTGTGACAGAGTACAAAATAAACATATAAGCCACTGCATAAATGTGAAGTTCAAGTTGCCTGAACAAAAAAGAAATAGAGATATATGTCAGAAATGTGTGGTTGAAGACAGTACAACATGTAGGAAGAGAAACCCATGCAAATAGATGAAGGCTGAAAATGACATTGAATTGTAAAGCTAGAGGATGATGAGGAAGGAGGTGGTGTTGGGAACAGGATTTTGAATCTTGTAGAGGCATTAAATTGCCCAGCCTGTGAAGAAAAGAAAACACAGCTGGCTCTGCTACAGATGCTGCAGCTTGATTTTACAATTTCATCCTTATGAATATTAAGAACAGAGAACTAGGAAACTTGGATTCATGGAACGATGGAACAAGAGAAATGGCTGCTAATGTAAAGAGTGACACACAAAACACACGGCAAGCTTTTCAAGAACTTTATTACCATTAGATTGTGATGGTGAAAAAGAAAACATTTAGTTTTAAAACATACATCCAAAAAGAAGACAGAATGTCCTGGAAGACGTCCCATGATATCAGGAAGGGGATGGGCATTTCTAGACATGCCCTCATGTCATGTGAAGAAGTAACCAAATGGTTGAAGTTCTAAGCTAAGCCATCAGAAATTTCAAGACAAGAATGGGTTCATTATCAAGTTCTGTTACTCTAAACTACACATATTTCAATAGAAACATTGTTAAACAATTCTTTTGTTGTTTGATATCACATATTATTTCTTCTTCACGATATGTGAATAGATTTGATACTAAAACTAATTTCAATTGTTCATGTATGCATCCATTATCTACTTCACTGTTTGGTCGATTTAAGGAATATTGATCTTTCCTCTAATTTACATATATTTTAGTAGTTGCCATTAATTTTGAAGTATCAAAGCATCTCTAATAGTTAAACTATTTTAGGGACAAACACATGTTTAATTTTAAAATTAACATACCTGTAAATATTTAATGCATTTCTTCATTTGTTTTAAGTTTTCTGTTATATGTAGTAATCATTCAACAAATGTTTTGTAGAATATAACATTTTAGTATTAATTACCAAATAACCAAATAGATTTATATTTCTCTTCATTGGCAACGTTCAGCTAAATAAATTATCCAATTTCATCCATACAAAACAATATAAAATGCTTAAAAGTCCTAGCAACCTTTAGATCAACTCCCAACAATTTCACATATAATATCTATGAACACTATATCTATGTCACCACAGATGCTCATTTGTTTTCTTTATGTTCAATTGACACATAAAACAATGTAACATATAAGAAGGAAAAACTGTCAAGTATGTACTTTAGGCCCTACACAAAGATTGACATTCACTGCTAAAAGTTGTTGTGTCTAAAGTATCACCCATCACAGACCAATGACATATCTTAAAATATTGTTATTATTTGATATTAAACTCTCTCAAACTATATAAAATCATAAAATATCACACAAATGTGTTACAATCCTACATTTATAATGAGAATGAATATGATTATGTGTATACAATTCTCAGCTATCACTAGTTCAATATTTGATTTTTGCTTTATGTAACATACAACCCTCCTTTCTTATGAGCATGGGGCTATTGAAATGAAACTTCTTTCAAGCCACAACATATAAATATTCTCTTGATTAGATCTATGGCTGCTATATGATTTCCTTCCATGTCATTGCTTATTGTGTAAAATTTTATTTAGGTAAGTACCTTTACCTTGTACTGCCCCAAATCTGGAATATAAGGCCCTTTCCATGTCTCAAAAAGGATAAGATTTCCACAATTACAGTGTTCTGTCCTCTCTTGTTTTCTGTCAGTACATCTACCTTAGGCAAGAATTCCAGTCATGGGGTGCTAGAAACTTGCAAAATATATATTAACACTCTGGAAGATTCTGTTTCTTCACTAGAAGTTAGTTCTCAAAGTGATAAAAGTCTGGTTCAGGTAGCATCACAGTACTCAAAACAATGAAAAACATTATAATCCTGAAGAAACTGAAGAGCATTATAACTATGAACACACTGAAAACCATTTCAACAGTGAACATATTGTAAACCATTTTAATAGCGAACATGCTGAAAGCCATTTTAATACATAGTATGTTGCAAACTTCAAGAATCTGTTATGATGTCAAACTTTATATTTTGGTTCTGCATATTGGAAGCTGGCTACAGTCATTTAGTCTTATGCCCCAAGCTCAAAAGGAAAAGACAACAGATTCTAGTATTTTGTGAATGCCTGCATTGACCATCAATTCCATAATATATGTATGATAAGTTTAGGCTTGCACCAGTATCACTTCTACAAGTGTGATTAATGATCCTACATGATTAGTATTTTATTCCCAATGTCCCTCTTTATACATGAACTTTTCAGTGAAACATGATTTTCAATTGCGCCCTTCAGAGTCACTGATTAATTATGATTCATAAGGGGAAGCCACAATTCCTTCCAAGCTGGTGGACTTTGAATAGTGGGCATAAATATACATCAGTGTTCCATACTTAATCAAAAGCTATTGACCACTGAAAAAAAACCATTAAAGAAGATCTGCCTTGAAAATTTTACCAGCAATTCCCTGCTAGGGATAAAGTCTAGGTTAAATTAGAACAATAATAGCCACTGATGGGCATGTTTATGAAGCTGCTTTTTTTAAGTAATCTTCATCATCCTCCTGACATCTGTGTCACAGAATGTCATGGCTGGATGGTTACCACTTCTGCTTGATATTAATAAAGGCCTTAGCAACAGCAGCAGTAATAACTTCAAATTTATTTTTTGTCACAACAGTTATGCAAGTGCTGATACCTTGTCAGGTATAGAGAAAGTAGACAAAGTTTCTGCCATGATGCACAAACCTATTTTAATCTTGTCCCACCCAGATACATAAAAGTATTATAATTATGCATAGTAATAATAATAATAAGATAGATTCTTAAAGTGACTCCTAGGAATTTACACTGAGTTAATTTCCTTCTGAATGTAATTTCATTCTTCAGTTTTAAGAAATATTGACTGAATTGCCTCTGACATCGACTTGAAATGAACTATGACTCAGTAGCCAGTTCATGGGATAAGGGCATTGAGAAAAAAATATAAATATTTAATTACAAAATCAATGAACTGGTTTTGTGGTGTGTTTCATAATACTGCTCTGCATAATATCCACTAAAATAGCTTTGAATCTATTTTGTGAAGCTCTTAAAATAATTAGCAAGAGTTCATGAAAAAATATGGACTCCAGTGCCATCTGTTTTTAGAGAATTAATGGCCATTACTATGAACAACAAAACCAGTTCTTCTTGTTTTGTATCGTGAAATCTATAGCTCACAGGAATATAAGAGTTATATATTGTCCCCCAGTGATGGCACCTTTTAGGAGAAAGCTGAAACTTCAAAACTGTAGCATAACTAGAAGATGTATCACTAGATATAACAGCAAGAAAATGCATCCCTACTGATATGGTTATGCATTTAAGTACAGAGTCTCATATGTCTTTTGATAGACTTGGGCATCTTATGTAAAGCTGCTTTCAACTCTACATCATTAAATAATTTCTTATACATGTGTAGGTAGATGGCATCATGACGGTAGTTTGGACAGGAGCCTGTTAGATCAATTCACAAAAGTGAACTCCCATTTTGGAGCAGTGTAATGGGCTTCCCTTTTGTAATTGTCATCATTATTATACCTGTAAGTTAAAAAAAATTACAGTATTGCATTGTTTCCTTTATATTTACTTCCTTAGTTTTCTTTCCTACATGGCTGTCACCCCAATTTCATTGGAATGGCTCTAACAGTTGATACTTTGAATATCTCTACTTGCTAAATAAGGAGATTTGTTTATCATTTGAGGCTCATTCTGTTTCAGTAAGAACAATAACAGTCCTGAAAGCCCCTTATTCACTTCCTGAAATAAAGCAAGAAGACGTTCTCTCCTGAAAGAAGTTACTATACTTCCAATTGAGACACTGTTTATCTATCTAGGCCCCCTTCCCCTCAAACTTGGGCAAACTTCTCATTTCCCTTTAAAAATAGTTACAAAAAGGGCTGTGTTTCCCAGTTCTCAAAATTTCCATTTTCCATCTTGTGAGGAAAATACATAAGACCCTGAAGAGTGCTGTCTTTTCTTAGGATTCCATTTCATTTTTGTAATACGTAGGTAGGTCAATAAGTAAGTTACATATGGATGGGCCGCGCCATAGCTCAAGCGGTTAGTCGCTGGCTTCCCACCGCGACAGCCCTGGTTCGATCCCAGGTCTGGTCAAGTGGGATTTGTGGTGGACAAAGTGGCGCTGGGCAAGTTTTCTCTGAGTACTTCGGTTTCCCCTGCCAATCTTCATTCCACCAATTGCTCCACAGTCACTTTCACCTATCATCTAGAGCTGGTACAATAGGCCAGAAGTGGCCGCAGTACAAGGAACTTAGTCCCACACCACTAGCAAAAAAAAAAGGTTACAAATGGATATAGAACTTAAACAAATAAGAGTACTGATTTGAAAAATGCTTTTATTGCTCAACATAATCTCCCTGTACATTGAGGCACTTATACATTGTTCCTCAAGCCCCTGTTAACCAGCAGCATAAAATTCTTTGGGCTGCTGTCAGAACCAGGCGGTGACTGGGATCATGAAAGTATACTGCTCACCGCATTCCAGCCTCAAGGACAAACCGTAAATGCTGACTCCTACTGTAACATCCTCAGGAAACTTCGTAAGGCCATTCAAGGGAAGCGACCAGGACTCCTCACCAAAGGCGTGTTGCTCTTGCAGGACAACGCGCGTTCCCATACTGCCAAGAAGATAAATGAGACGCTGCGAAATTTCAAGTGGGAAGTCCTTGAGAATCCTCCATATAGCCCCGACCATGCTCCAAGCGACTTCCATTTCTTCGGCCCTCTTAGACATCAACTTTAGGCTGAAAATTTTCCCAACGATGAAGCTGTAGAAAGCTAAGTCACCACCTGGTTCTGACAGCAGCCCAAAGAGTTTTCTGCTGCTGGTTTTAAGGGGCTTGTGAAACGATGGGACAAGTGCCTCAATGTACAGGGAGATTATGTTGAGAATTAAAAGCATTTTTCGAATCAGTACTCTTATTTGTTTAAGTTCTATATCCTTTTGTAACTTACTTATTGACTTATTGACCCTCGTAATACTGTAACCTCAGAATGGCTGTATTCTTATGAACAGTTCCTGTTGGCTTAGTCTACGCTCCATTTCCTCCCCTCCCCAAATATGTCTGATTGACTATCTTCCTTGCAGTGTGCTTCTAATGTCACCACTCTGTCACCCTGCAAACTTCAGCCTGATCATGGACCTAACATGTTCTTTGACAATATCAGTCCCCACCTGCAATATTACATGGTATCACAACCCTGAATATAGCAGTAGGTATAACGACTGGCCTCTGGCTGGACGACTGAGGGGTCGGAGTTCGAGTCCCAGTGGGGTCAAGAATTTTCACTTCTCCATATTGTCCAGACCAGCTCTTGGGTCCATCCAACCTCTTATCCAATAGGTACCAGGGGTCTCTTTCCCTGGGGGTAAAGCGGTCGGGGCGTAAAACTGACCACTCACCTCTAACTAGGGCCGAGGTCAAGAAAACATATGTCTATACATCCGCTCCCCTATACACCTTCATGGCATAGTGCCTACTTAGTTAAATGCAAGGAGAACTTCACCTTTTTATCACAACCCTGAAAACCACATAATGTGAACAATTAACAGGAAAAACCTTAGAACTTATAATAATATTTACAGCTGTCTTCTGGGACTAGGAACTCATTCTCTCAAATTAATGAGTGATTCACATCTGTTACATTAGACACATGTCTGAAAATGTAACTTGGTAATATTAACTGCATCATGGGATTTGTTCTACAATCAAACAGAGTCTGTATCTCTCACGGATTACTCCATCAAGGTAGGTTCAAGGCTTTCATAGTTCTGTAACTGAGATGCAGAGAGCAGTTGAATGACTGGTGGCTAGTAAAGAGAGAAGTGTAGTAGATTCTAAAGCAGTGTTGTCCAACCTTCTTATGTACTCGGGCACAATTCACTGATGCCTATGGAGGTGCGGGCACCACCACACTACTGCTTACGGAGGGCGCCAGAAAAATATACCACAGGCGCCGCGTTGGACAGGGCTGTTCTAAAGGGTTCTGACAATGGTGTATAACACTCAGAATTACTGGGGTTTTAGACTTTGTCCATTTTCCGATGTTCTAAAATCTGACGTGGGTTGTCCAGTGATTGAGGTGAACTCTTTCTAAGGGTCCCAATAGAATAGGTGTCTCCCCCCTCATCCGAGGAGAGAAACAGATCCAGTTTCTGAAAAATTGTGTTCTATAGTTCTCAGAATATTAGACGATTGACAAAGCCCAAAAACCCATTAATTCTGAGAGAAGTTTAGAATGATATTTCCAAAAAATTTGAAGAGCACAACACTTGTCTTCTCAGTCCAGAGTATGATTATCACATTTCTGATCAATTTCAAGTTCATAGTTTAACTCTATTCACACCAAATTCTAACCAGATCAGCTTAGTTTATGTGCATTAAAATTTACACAGCTAAAGAGACAAGCTCATTGTAAATAAATTGGTACATGATTTCTGCCAATAGAGGGCATCAAGTGTGATATACCAATGTTTTGGGGGGACAGGACTTTCTTGTCATATATTCCCTTGCAGTTTGAAATTCAGATTTCAGCGACTGCGGCTATGACGTGACTATCTTCTGGCTGTGTTGTTGCATTCCTACCTTTTTCGTCCCTGAAGATGGAGGTTGTACGTTCCTTCGAAATATCAGTAAATGTCTACCTTAGTACACGGCGTCGTATCCGAGATGACGAAACAACTTTGAAAATGGGGGTCGAGTTATTGTTATTTAACGACGCTGTCGATATCGAAACTGTGTAGTGTCGATTATAGGATGATTAATGAATACAGAGCAATTGGTGGTATGAAAATTGACAGGGGAAACCGATATACTCGGAGAAAACCTGCCCCAGGGTCATTTTATCAACTGAAGGCCCAAACATGACTTGACATGAAAATGAACTCAAGCCGCACCCGTGAGAATCCGGCGACTAACCGCCTGAACTATGGCGCGACCTCGAGTCGTGATCGAAATATTATTTTCTCCGTCATATCTCGAAAATTCGAGACACATACATCCAGATTTTTGTATATAGATAGTAGCCACTGTGCTCTAAAACAATTAACTTCTGTGCCTCTGTGGTTTAGCAGTCGGAGTTCCTGGCTACAGATCCAGAGGTCCTGGGTTCGATTCACAGAGCTACCAGATTTGAGTAGTAGGTCTGGGACGATGTCTACTCAGCCTCGTGAGGATAACTGAGGAGCTATTTCAAGGAAACGGCGGCTCCGGTCTAGAAAACCGAAATTAACGGGCGTGGGGATTCGTTGCGCTCACCACGCGACACCCTATATCCGTAGAAGTTGGCACTATTTTATTATTTTCTTGGAGGGGGTGGGTTTCCCCATGCACCGCGACTAGTAGTCTATTGTACGTCCCCCTTTAATTTCTACTGTTGCCATACCCTACCGGTACTGGTGCTCGCTATCGGCCCCATTCTGCCAGCGAAGTCGAACCTCTTCTGGCAGAGGTACCCGATGCTTCCCCATCTACCGGAGGCATTGGAAACTACTTGGGCGGGAAACTTTGCCTTATTTTGCTCAGAGGTCTCCTAGAGACATGAGGATATTTTACGTGCCGTAAATATACGACACGGGACCCACGGCTTAAAGTCCCTCCCGGATTTGAACCCGCGTACCTTGAGTCATGAGGTGGGACCGTTACACCTAGACTACGGAGGCCGCTTTGAAGTTGGCACCAACTTCGCCGACAAGCGGCGGTCGCTCGGTCGGTATAGTTCGCTAGCAGACTACAGGTCACCGAGTTTGTTTTTTGTTGGAAATTAATTTGAGGAAAGTACTGTGACACTGCACTCGACATTCTTAACAGGCTGCTGTACAGTGGGGCTAGGCAGTGAAAGGGTTAAATGAAAACATAGGAACAGTTCTCTTTCTCAGTCACACAATTACAGAAGCCTCACAATTTACATAATGGTAATCCAAGAACTACTTTGTGAATGAACTGTCCTGCATAATTAGCAGCGCATATGTAACAGCTGCGCTTTTAAACGGATATTATTGAATCTGTCACTAATTTTGGTAAAACTGCCTCATCTATAGCTCACTGACTTGCCACCACTTTGCTCAAATATTGACCCGTACAATTGTAATACTGTATTTAAATAATTTCCTTACTTCTTGGAACTGTAACGTACGTGATACCTTTAAGAATGTTCGTGGATGATGCCAGTTTGAGTCTACCTGGTGCCTGTCACTTTCTGAATCATAACTCTGTGCCACAAGCCAAAATGTGAAGTCGCAGCTCTCTCATTGCCAGGCGACGTTTTAGAACGTATCCACGTCGAACATGTCCAGACTGCTGCTGGACCTGTAGTCGTCATGCGTGGCACAGTCCTTGGGGCTGCACGTGACCCTCGCTTCATTGTCGCACACACACTCCAGACATGTGCCAGTGTCACGGGGAAGCACCTCCCCAACCTTGTACTCGGTCCCTGTAACAACATTCAAGCAGTATGAGAAGACATTTGCTGACTGCTTGTTCTCCCTGAATTGGAAGGTGTATCCTTCGACCTGTGCCTGCATTTTGAGATGTTCTCGACAAAGTGCTGAGGAGATCATGTGGCTCTAAGAAGGAAGAAGTAACAGGAGCATGGAGAAAAATGCATAATAAGGAGTTTCATAGTTTGTGCTCATCAACAGATACTCAAACTATGGTGAAATAAAGTTGGACGAAATAAGTGGGCATGCAGCATGCACTGAAAATTGTGAAATGCATACAGAACTTTACATTTTGCCTTTGTAATGAAGACATGGCGTGCTTTTGCAGGGCATGTAATTAATTTTTGAACATTACTTATTAGCAATGCAACAACATACTTGTTAGGAAAAAGAAGGGAAGCTCTGTATTCTTTTATCTAATGGACTGCTCACTAGAAATGAGTGTGCCTCTGGGAGGTCCTGTGATCAGTCATTTTGATACAGGTTTTCTTGGTTTTCCTCTGTCTTCAAACAAATGCTTCCAAATTGTTATTGCATGTGGCCTGTGCGGGCTTCCATACTTAAATTGACCAAAATGAAACTCCTTTCTCTGGAGGCCCAAAATTACTTTTCGAAATTATGCAATTCGAAACACCTTTTCTCTTTTCATGTTTCAAAATTTTAGGGCCCGTTTGCATAGACAGGACGAGGAGGCAAGACGTACCCATAACGTAGCATGTTGTCGGCGCGCTGGGGTGCAGGGCGGGGGTCGTCGCAGTGCCAGGCAAAGTGGCCAGTTGTGTCACCTCCGTCAGTTGGTCGCTACTGGCGGTAAGAGGCGAGGTCACACTGCTGCTGCCTGCAGAGGTCGCAGTCACCTCAGGTGTCGTGGTGGTCGCGTCGTGTGTTGACGAGTGGTTCACTACAAGAGGAAGCAGAGCTTGCTTGTTTCAAACAGTATAGCACAGCGGGAATTGCAAGTAACAGTGTAACAATTCTCGTGCTTTCGTTCCGTTCTAGAATTAACTGCAAAACTTAAACAGGGTTACGGCAAAATTGTCTCTACAACACTTCTGGCTATGTTACGCACGCAAACGCGTCTGGGTCTCCCCAAGAAGTGTCAGTTATTACTGCCCCGTTTTAGCGAGAAGAGGAATTTCTCGACAGATAGTTGAACTTCTCTATATAACATATCATGAAAACCCGTTTCGTGGTTTCCGACTTATGACAGGAGGACAGATGAATGGAAGGACATTAAAGGCAACTATTACTGGCATATTTTTGTAACAGTTCGTTGAGTGCATGCCGATTATTTAAAATATGCAGAGACATCACGGATCTCATCACATCATTGCTCCATACGCATGTATCGCCACCCCCTGAGCTGTGTGAGAGCCTTGAACAGGCAGCACATTATCATATCCTCGATCTTCAAGTTGAGGGATCCATCTCTGGCCCGACACATGACTGGTTACAAAGTGGGAAACTTAAGGTTAGCTTTTTTGTTCTGTTGTTGGCTATACCTCTGACCTCATCCTATTCTCAACAGTTTTTTGAGGAAAAACAATCCTCTAAACATCCGATAGGACTTCTTAGAAAGCGCATCGTTCACCCCAGGACCTGTACATAATCAACAGTAATAATGTTTGTAATGCTTACGTGAGGCTGAGGATGGGCAGGCGTGTAGCATTAATTGGGAAATAAGTTCCAGTGGCTCTTCGTTGGTTTAACGACTTTTTCAAATTACACAGTGTTGAATGTTAGGGTGATCTGTGAACAACAAATTGTAACTCATGTGGAAGGAAGAGGTTGTCGACTACTTAAGGTGAAATATCCCGGGATTTGAGAGAACACCACAGCAATTATTATTAGGACGATCAATGGGCGGACCATGCGGAACGCACGAGAGATAATACGAATGCATACAAGATTTTGGAAGGAAAACCTGAAGACAGGAGACCCCCCGGAATATTTGGGCGTACACTTCACTATTCTTGCTCAGAATAAGAACCGGTTGTGGGGACCGTTCAAGTGACTAGACTGCCGTTGTAGCGGAAGCTACTAGAAATAGGGCATAATCTGCTGTACTGAGCCTGGACTGACTGAGGCCTTGCATATATTTTCTATACATTTATTAACATGTTTAACATGGAAAATGTAAATATCCTTTACACGTACATTATGACAATCGACAATGACTCTAACAAAAGACAGATCCGTTCTCTCGTCAGAGAGGGCGCACCACAATAACAATATTGTAAATGTCAAATAGCAATAATTATCTGGTCATAAGCTCCAGATTGGGCTCGACACCAAGACTGACTGATTGACCGTCAGACGCAACGAGACTTTCACTTTGACTTGACTAGGATTAGAGCAGTTACGAGTGTAAAAGAGTTTATCCGTGAATTCAAGAGAATTAACATTCTATAAGGCTAAGCATATTCATAACAGACAAACCGACCTTCTCGTCAGAGAGGATGTTACATAAGGACTATTACCGGAAACGTTCAGTTGAAAAGAAAATTCTGGCCGTGAGTCACAATGAACTTGGCGCCAAGATGAAAACCGATTGGCGTTAAACCACCAGTTCTAAGTAGGATTAGACTCCCGTGTGGAGGCGGGGTCGAATACCTCCACCGTAGCCCCGCAAGTCACGGGTGGTGACGAAAAGGGAAGTCTCGACTATGAGACAGTAAAATATGGTCTTGAGTTCCACGGGCCTCGGACTCGACAATGACTGCCCCACATCAACAAGCCTGCAGCTGTCTGACACTAATAAAGATCTGGTCTTAAGCCACAGATGGATGCTTTATTCCAAGACATATGGGCCGACAGACCGTCGGTCGTAACATAAGACTCACTCAGACTCAGATTGGACCAGAAGATTGGGAGACTGAAGAACTGAGTCGAGTTCTGGAGGGTTGGCATTCCAAGGTGATTGAACAAGACATGGCAAGAAGATTTCATAGTGATTTGAAGAGCTAGTTTTTGTATTAAAATCCGTTGTCAGGAAAGGGATCGTGAAGACATTGTAAAGGCTTAGCCATTGTTGAGATCTGTTACCTAGCAACGACTAGTGTAAGCAGACGTTATTTATGTGTTATAATTACCGTAATACTGAAATTGAAGTACTAATTGTAGTTACGAATGGTGAATATCAAACAAATCCAGTCACCAATTCAAACCCCGTCTACAAGTCACTAATACAAGTCCTCCTAGGAAACTTCTGGAATATCACCTTGATTACGCTACCGCTGTTTCATGCCAAATCCATTCCAAACCAAATCACAGGAAGATTCGACTCCTTATAAACTGAGATATTGACGGCTCCTTTAAGCAGCTCATATAGACTTCCGGACTGGTTTCCACGCAATTTGCTGTCCTGGGATTTGTTGGAGGGACTGAGGAAAACAGCCCCGGTAAGGCAACGGGCCTCGGGGCCGAGATATGCACCCAGAACCTCCGACATACAAAGTAGCAATATGACAGGTTAGTGTAAGCTAGACCGTACCGCAGGCGGTGGAGGAGAGGCTGCCCCTGCAGGGCGGGCAGTCCTGCCACCAGCAGAACAGCTCTCCGTCCAGACACAAGCAGAACTCGCAGGGGTCTTCCCGTGGTACCTGCAACAGCAAGGCAACAACGTCAGCACGCCACCTCTAGCAGTACTTTCCCAACGTCTCTTCCAACTATTAGCCATTTAAAGCCCAGTGGTAACTATGCAGAGCGTCCTAGGAGGAAAGGTCAATATTCTTGGAGGTCATAGTATCCGTCATTCTAAGCAAAAAATTGTGTATGTAGATGTACCCTATTCCGAACGGTTTCCGTTCAGATTTGGAGCCCAATACTGTCATTCCCTCCTGCACGTGAATCGGTGTGAAGTTGGCCGTTGTGACTGTTGATATTGACACTGTAAGAGTGCTGTGAAAAATGCCGCGCGTTTTCACGAATGTCTGATAAGCTGTATAATGTATTCTGGGTAGTTGTAAAATTTATTGTCGCAGACGGTGGAATTTTCGAAAATATGTTAAACAGGGTAATGTGTACCATCTTTGTCACTTGAACAATACATTCCGGTATTGGAAGCAGTACGTAATATTCTTTTCTTATCAACAATTTTGGAACGGTACAGTTAAATAGCGGGGGCACGCGGTAGCCTAGTTGGCCGAGGCACTATGCTACAAGCCAGAAGGTCGCTGATTCAATTCCCGATGAGGTTATTGGATTTTTTCTCAATTAACCTAATGCTTCTAGCCGCACTATGGCCCCGGGGTCGACTCAGCCTCTAACAGAAATGAGTACCAGGAATCTTCCTGGAGGGTAAAGGGCGGCCGGCGCGTAAGGCTAACAACCTTACCGCCATCTGTGAGCCGATTACCTAGAAAATGTGGGAACCTCAACATCTCACAACCCTATGGGCCTCCACGGCCTGTTACAGGGATAGCTTTACTTACTTTACTTTTACTTTTACAGTGAATAGATCTATCACGGAAACCGTTCGGAATAGGACATATTTTTGCTTAGAATTACCGATACTATGACCTCGCAGAATAATGACCTTTCTTCCTCGGATACCCTGTATATACCACATGTTTTAACACTTAGAAAGGAGTCCGGATAGCTCAGTCGGTATAGCGACGGGCTAAGGGTTGGACGGGAGGGGCTCGAATCCCGACAGGAGCAATATTTTATCTTCTCCCCAGTGTCCAGGCCGGCTCTGGGGTCCCCCAGTGTCCTATCCAATGGGTACGGGGGGCTCTTTGCTGGCCACTCACTTCCATCTAGCGCCGAAGTGAAGAATGGTAGAGCTGTAATTACACTCCCCTCATGTCTTCATGGACTGGTGCTTAACTAATTAAGGAAAGGGACAACTTTCTTTACCTTCTACCTTAACATTTAAGAGATGTACGTTTTGCCCAAACAAAGTATTTCTTATGATTCTCACAACTGGAAGGAATTTATTCACGTTTCGAGGAACTTGCTGCCTCCATCTTCAGAGTTGGAGAGTAAATCACACAAGCTGCAAGCAGAGCAGAAACAGTGCATTTCTGAGTAGCGATGGTGACTGCATACCAGACTACACGAGGTCACAACTCATAAGACAACAATATGAATAAATTAACCGGTTCAGTCGAAACACTTTGCTGCCACTAGCAGTTGAATAAAAGAGGTGATAATAAGAAGGGTAACAGAAATAAAGTAGCTCGGCGGCAACGGGCCTAGCAAGATCACTTTGCTACAGGAGTGTATTTACCGACATAATTCGTCCTTCTCGGTGTTAGCAGGCATGTTACAATAGGTCACGACACGTCTCAGTCACCGTACACCCGAGGAACTCAATTCAGCGTTAATATCCTAGGCCCATATTAGAGAGATCGGCGATTCGTATCTCGTATCCGTTACCTAATAACGGTTTCTCATTATTAACCGTAGTCTATTCAGCTGACCTCAGTTACAACCGCCTCCCTCCAAATCCACCAAAATTGAGCAACTTTCCTCAAATGGTAACGCTTCTAACTCGTAATCAGGGGTCACTTAGTTCGAATCTTGGCCGGAACATTGAAAATCCTAGGGGTTTTCACGGGTTTCCTTTGGGAAAATGTCGGGATACTGCCTTAAATTAAGGCCACGACCGCTTCAGTCCTTCCATTTGACCTATATAACCTTAGCTACTAAGAAAACCGTTAAGTAAACTACTATTGCCACTGATGCTGCAATCTTCGGCCCAGTTCCATGTTACATAACCTCACTAATCACAGCGCACTCGTCACATGCTCCGTGTGCGGAGCAAACGGTTAAGGGATAACATCGGATTAAACATGAATTGGTCTCTACGGAAGGTTTAATTATAAATCGAATTGTGTGGTGTTTAAGTGGAGCACGAGTTGGACTCTCCGGGAATTTGGCACGTGTCGACGAAAGGATCAGACCTCACAGGTACGGTAAAAAAGTAATTGCTGTGTCACAAATAATTCGAAACATTTCCTTCTACAGCGATCAAACAACATGCGGAAAACATTTTAAAGCAGGCTGGTAGGTATATTTCAACATTCAGGTAAGACTCTTGCGTAATACATAACAGAGGAGTTAAACGTAAGGTAAGATAAATTTGTCCCTGTGTTTAGTCAGGTACGCATCATGCCATGAGGGTTTATGGAGGGAGTGGAGGTGTAGTTCCACGATTCTTGACTTCGGCACTTGATGGATGTCAACTTCACGCCCCAGGAAACAGCCCCCCCCCCTTGCAACCAATGAATAGGAGGCTGGGCGGTTCCCAGAGCAGGTCTGAACGTTGTGGAGTAGAAAAAATTTCTTGCCCCTGCCGGAAAACGAACCCAGTTCGTCGCTTTACCGACTGAGCTATCAGGTCAGAATAGAGGAATTAATTTTTATTAATGTTTCAAACACGGTACGAAATGTAATGACGAAAGAGATAAATTGTGTATACGAAAACACTGCAGATATGAAACAAAATGCCGTCCTTGAATGGATACATTGAAAGACCTGAATGTAGATGGCTAAAGAAACTAATTCAAGGAACACAAATTGGAAGACCTGAAAATGTGGCCGTGCGGAAGCATCGAGTGAAGAAAGAGAAACACTTCCAGGAATATGAATTTACTCTTCACTTATAAATACAACCAACATCTCAAGCCATGGAATTAACAGTAAGACAAACTTACATTAACAAACTTGCTTATCTATTTCTTACTAAAACTGCATGTTTCGATCGCAAACGTTTGTCATAATGCGATGTACACGAATCAGTCAAATGTACCTACACTCCAAGCACAAACATGTTAAATTACGGAACTATAGAAATATATTTCTCATATTCTTTTGCATTATGTAGTGCCAATTACTATAGATAATCACTCACTCATGGAGCTGACCCCTTCTTGAGTAGCTGCCAATTGTGAAGTTACTCAAGAACTTCGCAGCATTTTATGGAACCCGAAGGTTCATTACCGTGTTCACAAGAGCCCTCAACTGGTCCCTATCCTGAGCCAGATCTATCCAGTCCACACCATTCCATTCTCTCTCTCTAAGATCCATTTTAATATTGTTCGCCTACCTACGTCTTGGCCTTTCCAGTGGTTTCCTTACTTCCGACTTTCCCAACTTTTTTCCTAGCCCATATCCATGCTACATGTCCTGCCCACCTCGTCCTCCTTGACTTGATCATTCCAATTATACTCGGAGAAGCGTACAAGTTATGAAGCTCCTCATTAATCAGTTTTCTCCAACCTCCTGCCACTTGATCTCTCTACGGTTCAAATATTCTCCTCTACACCCTGTTCTCAAACACCCTCATTCTATATTCCTCTCTTAATGTCAGAGACGAAATTTCACACCCATACAGAACCACAGGCAAAATTATAGTTTTATATATTCTAAAAATGTTATATTTTAGCGTCCTGTTACATTGATTCATGTCCATGGTTTATGCTAACCGTCTTACAGTGTATACACTTTTTCACCTTATTCTTCACTTCCACACTACATGTTTCAGCACTAATGTGCCATCCTCA